ACTATCTTTATTAAAAAACTTGAAAAATTTATACTTAAAAAATAATTCTCTTGATGATTTAGCATTACCAAAAGAATTTGAACAATTAAAACAATTAGAAGTTATTAATTTAGGTGGAAATCGTCTTAAACAGTTTCCATATCAATTATTTCAAATGTTCAATTTAAAAGAAATTTATTTAGGTTCAAATCAAATAACATTTTTACCTGATTTATTTCATACATTAATCAAGTTAGAAAAATCAATCTATATAAACAATTTTTTTTATTATTTTCTTTAGGGTTGAAGTTCTCTATTTGGGTGGAAATCAAATTGGTAATGTGCCAGATTCAATTGGTTATATGCGTTCGTTAGTTGTTCTAAATTTAAGTGGAAATCGTTTACGAACATTACCACGCTCGATTTCTCGTAAGTAAAAAAAAGAACAAACATCCGTTGTGTTCCTTTTATATATTCGTTTTTAAATTTGCTTGTATTTTGTTTTTTTAGGCTTAACTCGTTTAAAATCACTTTCATTACATAACAATCAATTTAGTGCTCTGCCGCCAGATATTATACGCCTCGATTTACAGGAATTAAGTTTAAGAAATAATCCACTTGTTGTACGTTTTGTTCGAGATTTAACATACGATGTACCAACATTAAAAGAATTAACCGGTAGAACAATAAAATTTCATAAAATACCTTACGATGATAGATCAATACCAAAAAGTCTTGTTGAATATTTAAACTCAGCTAAATCATGTTTAAATCCTAAATGCAAAGGTTAATATCATTTATTTGCTTTGTTATTTTGTTAAATTTTTTTTTTCTTCTCATTTAGGTGTTTATTTTGAAAGTTATCATAAAAATATTAAATTTGTGGATTTTTGTGGCAAGTTTTATTTACCTTTACTTCAATTTCTATGTACACCTGCATGTACATCAGCACCAACATTTCAAATGACATCATCTGAATCTGATGATACAGAGAATATACCAACGAAAGATATGACTAACAAATTTAAAAAAGTTCTACTTGGTTAAATTCTTCTTTCTTTCTTTTTTGTTTGAAGCACTTATTACAGTAAAAGTTCTTTATAATACTTATATACATATATATGTAATGAAATAAAAAAACAATATCTCGTTTTTTTTGTTTTATCCTCCATGTAATGTAGAAACAAACAAAATATTATCATTTGATTTTAATTGATAATTAAGACCATCTAATAATTCCCAATCGATATCATTTATAAGAACTAAAATTCCAGGTCGAACTGAATCACCTTGAATAAATAATTCTGGACGTTCACGAAGAAGATTTTCACGTATCCATACAAGTAACGTTCGAATAGTCCATGATGAATTGTTATCTGGTAAATCAATTGAATGATTTTTTTGTTTTCCAAATAATAATTCTGCACCACCAGCAAATTCAAGAGTCAAATGCATAATATATCCTGAAAAAATCGAACTTGTTTGTTTTTGTCTTTTCCTTCATCATGTATTTCGATCTTTTTTTTTCTTTTTTTTTTTCTTAAAGTTATATAATAGAACTCTTTTGCAAAAAGAAAACAAGCCAACAACAGAAACATGACGACACGCATACAAGAGTAGAAAAAAAAACTATGTGTGCAATCGAACGACGACGTTAAATAAAAACCAAAAAAAAAAAACAAAGATAATCATCATGCACGCGGATAAAGGATATATAAGTGAAATGTTATAGGGACAACAAAAAAAAACAAGAGAAGAAGAAGAAACTGGTAAGCAAGATGAAATATAATGTGAAATAGTTTAGACAATAACAATCAAGAAAAAGAAAATACATAAATGAGAATGAATAAGCTTGTTTCGGCATTGAGAAAAACAAACAACAACAAAATCAAAAAAAATCATGAAACAATAACAACAACAACAACAGATTGTTGTTGTAGTATGGTGTTAGCACAAAGTGTTAGAATGAAACAAAAGAAAACAAATAACCTCATACCCAAATATACACACACACACGCAAAAACAGAGAGTGATGAATGATGTCTACTAAAAAGTTCACACACACACACACAAACAAAGAAAAAGAAGAGTTTCCCGGTATAGAAAGCGAGAGGATATAAATTAGTTTAGTCTAAAAAAAAGAAAAACGCGTGCATATTGATATTTGTTTTAATTTTGATCTTCATTATTCATATTTTCATTTTGATGTTGTTGTTGATCAGATGACATTGTTGATGTTTTATTTGATGAATATTGTCGTTTATTATTATTCGTATTTCCACGTGCATTAGTATTCATAAAGTCATTATTTGAAGGTTTTTTAGTTGTTGTTTCTTCTGCTTGTTTTGATTCATAATATTGAAAATCATCAAATATTGATGTTTTATCACGATACATATGCATAGTTTTTAACATTAATTTTCCTTTTTCATATGGTATTTCTTGTGTATCACGTGAATTAGTTACTGGTTTATTGTCATTATTTTCCAAACGTATATTACGAAATTGTTGATTTGGTACATCTTTAACATAGATCCATTTAACTTCAAATTTACCTTGCCATTTATTTGACATTTGCCAAACATCTGTTTTATGTTCATAATCAACAGGTGACATCATTTCGGCCATGCCACAAAAATGTCCCGAAGCATTAACAGAAAAAAATAAATATATTGGTCCTTTTCCTTCACGTTCACGAAAAGCAGCATCTAAACGTTTATTTCCATGTTCAGTGGAACACCATATATTATATTTTATTGAACGATGTACATCATCTTCTGAATACTAAACAAGAATATGAAAATTATTTTTAAGGTTTTTTTTTTATTCGAAAAAGACAAACTTTTATTAATGATAACGATAATATCTATTTCTTAAAATGATTAAGTTTAAAAATTATTTCTCTTATAGCTACATATGAGATAGGTTTCTATCTAAGTTCATCTTTCGGATAGTATGTTCGATAAAAAGAAATTTCGTATTTTAGAAACGTCCAAAAAAAAAGGAGGACGTTTCCGGATATTTTTAGTGCCGGAAGGGTTTCCGAAATCATTTCGGAAGTCTTTCCGGTATAAACATGTCTGGAAACTTTTTTTTGAGAGTTTTCCACAATACGAAATTTTTCCTTAGAGTATATATAATACTAGTTCTTCGGTTGATATTACACATGATATCTATTATTTGATTAGTAGTATGTCACATGTAGATAAGAACTAGTGTATAATCTCATGAAATACTTATAAACAATAATTTATCTAGAAGAGCGAATGTAGAAACTAACCTTACCGTTTTCAAAGATATAAATTATCAAATAGACTAGAGATACGAACCGAAAAAAAAAAACATTTGTCTCTATTTTTGAAAATATCTTGTATATGTTTTTATTTTCCAACTGCATTTGAATATTTAAATATTGAAACAAATAACTTTTACAAGTTATTAATCATATAGACTATAGAGTGTTTATTTAAAAAAAACACGTACATTGATGAATTATTCAAAGATATTTGTTTTCAGTTTCAAAATTACACTAAATCTAATATGTATGTCGATTATATTTCTATATTTTAATATTAACTCAGTTCTTTGTTGTTGTTGTTTTTTTACTTACCGATTTAATGACAAAAAATCTTGCTCCTTTAGGATTTAAATTAAAATCTTTTGGATTATATTGATGATTTCGTTTAAGTGCATCAAGAATTTCTTGATTAGCAGCAGATATTGGTTGTTGTCCAATAGGTGATGTTGCATCACTCCCATTAATCATATTATTTGTTGTTCGAGATGATGAATAATTTTGTTGATAATTTAAATTTGATCGTTTATTATTATTATTATTTGATGATGTTGATGTTTGTTGTTGTTGTTGCGAATAAGATGAACGATCATAATAATTTGATGAACCACTATTATAATAGTTCGATGATGTATTATTATTATTAGTATTGTTACCACGAGAATTCGATGGTAAACTATTATTTGTCCAATTAAGAAAACCTCCACTAGCGGATGATTGCTGTTGTTGATTACGAGAATTATATCCACCTGTACCGTTACGTGTTTGTTGAGAATAGTTGTTCGTCATATTATTATTATTATTACCTCGTATATTTGTATTCGTACGTGAATTAGTAGAGTCATTAGAAAAATTTGATGTCGTATTAATACGTTCATTTGTTGATGATTGTACTGTTGAACGACTAGGTATATTAGGAACAGATGGAATCGATTTATTATTATTTGTATTAATAGTATCAGATGAAACAACGGATGCATATGATTTTGGACCACTTGACGTAGACGATGAAGGTACTTGAGATGAACGTGATGATAATGAAAGATTACTACTATTCGTTTGATAATGTTGTTGCTGTTCTTTAGATGATAATACATTTATATTTTGTGTACTATCATTTGTTCCATTGTCATAATTATGTGTGTCATCATTATTTGTACTACTTCCTAGATCAACTGCATTCATATGTTGAGCAAGCATATCACCAACACCACTAGCTGGATATTCATCATAAACAGATGTTTTTTTATTTGATGTTAATCCACCACCAATAGGTGTCATTTGTTGTTGAGCTGCAACTTGCATTTGTTGCATTGATATATTATGTGGATTCCATGACATATCAAATGCTGATGTACCTGTTGATGGTGGTCCAGGAAATGTTGAAGGTGTAAAACCTGGATGATAATGCGTATAAGCATGATGTGGTTGAGGATAATCAAATGGATTACGAGGTATTTCAAGTGGTGATGGTGTATACAATTGAGGATGAAATTGCATTGGTCCAGGCTGTGGTGGAACATTGCCTGATGTATCAGCTGATCCCCATTGACTATGATCATCAAATGTACCAAATGGTTGATAAAGACTTGGAGGATAATACGAATAAAGATCATTTGGATTTTGCATTGGTTGTATATTCATCATATCATAATGATCTTAAATAAATAAATCATTTATTATATTGATCTCAATATACATATATATATATATATTCTTACTAGTTGGATAGCCATACTGCATATTAGCAGATGTTGGTGTATTGGCTTGTGCAGAACTACGTTCGTTAATCATCTTTTTATTTAAATTTGTTATTGTGTTTAGCACAAAGAATAAAACATGACTAAAAAAGAACGTTTAGAATATAAAATGATCTATTTATAAAATTTACCAAAACAAGAACAACAAAAAAAAGGACACAAATAACAGCACGTGATGTTTTAATGGTTTTTTTTTCTATATGAAAGAATCAGTTAAATTTATTATATAATTTAAATGAAATGTTTAATGACAATTTCTACAAAAAAATAAAACTGTAATTAAATATTATAAAATTGAATTTTCTTAAGAAATTTTTAGAATTCATAAAAATTTGAAAATTTAAACATTTGTTTTTTATAAGATTTGATGACGATTGAGTAACACTGAATAAGAACTTCTAGTAAACACGCAAACAAACAAACGACGACGACACGAAACAAGAATAAACCAATGAGAAATTATTTAATTTTTCTACTTCGTAGAGATTTCTAATAATATCATTTGAAATAAAAATCTTTGCAATTTTATAATCAATTAATAAAACAATTCTAAATTATAAACTTATTTTTTTCAATTGACTTAAGATAAGAGAGTAATAGATGGCACTCTTTGTTAACCAATTAGAAAAACTTACTGCCAAGTATATTATTATGTTGTTCTGTTTTTTTTCCTTTTATATTTGATCAAGTTTCATCTTTCATTGATCATGGAATATCTTGAAAAATTAAAAATTTATGGTGATCAAGTAAAAAATGTTGTTGTTAAATCTGTCGTTGATACAGCTCATGGTGGACAAAAAATGTTTAAAGATGTTTTACCAGGCAATTTAGTTACACGAGAATTTGAAGTAGAGAATTTTCAAAACTAAAAAAAAAAATTAAAACTAAATTATTTCATTTTTGAAGCTTGTTCGACCACTTGGATCAGCTGGTCCTGGTCTTCTTTGGAGGATTTATGGAGCAATTAAACATACAACTAAACAAGTTTGTTAAGTCTATCAAAGATTATAACGAACATTTATCGATACTAATTATTTAGGAGGCAGCTGTATTTGTCTTACAAAAACGTTTATTGGATAAATATTCAAAAAAAGATCGTGAATTAATTCTTGAAGCAATGAAAAAAGGTTTAAATTTCATGAAAAATCTTGTATTTTTATACAAAATAATCTTTCTTTTTTCTAGGTGTACAACAATTAGCAAAAATAAAACATCCTCGTATATTAAGTCTTCAACATCCATTAGAAGAATCACGGTTTATTCTTATCAACTATATTTATAAATAACTATTTCTTTGTTTTGTTTAGAGATAGTCTTGCATTTGCAACTGAATCTTGTTTTGCTAGTCTTGCTAATTGTCTTGGTTTTTATGATAATATGACTCAACCAATACCAAAAGA